TCGTAATAACCTTATTATTATACATCATTTCCTTCCAAGGATACATAATGGGAATGTCGAAATCCAAAATGTTTAGAATAGAATCAGCGAACTTCTTTGTGGCAGCCATACTTAATTAATACTTTGTTTTCATTATTACAGGACTCTTACGCGCGTAATAATTCCATATTTGGAATTCGCATTTCTTAATATGGTAGGATGAAAATATCCCGTAAAATACCGCAAAATTACGGCACGCTGTAACTTATGGCGTTACGGTGACGGATGAATAATAATAATACAACTTACAACAACAGTCCTGTCTATTAGTAATAATAACTTGATATACATCTTTTGATTCGCCAAGATCTAGCTTCCACCACGGCTGAAATTCTTTGTTGGTTTGTATGCAAGATTTTCCCGCTTTCAAATCACCGTTCTTGTTTCCATCCACTGCACGGCTTGCAACAGCGCCATTCTTGTTAGTTGAGCTCTGGCTGGCAATCTTACCAACGGCGATATTGCTCAGACCATCGGGATTTATACATGCTGTAATAGAACATGTGAAACTAATTACCACAAATTATAATTACCGGAATTATAATTGTTGTGCTCACTTTTTGAAACGAAGTATTTATGTTTGTATAATTATATCATTGCTGTGTGCTGTATTGTACATTTTTATTGTTTGCTTATTCTATTGTTATTAAAGTTTACATATTCTGTCCATATCTCGACTTACCTTCAGTTGGTGGAATAGTTGTTCCTATGTTGAAATAAAATAGTGCATACGTTATTTTTTTTATAATATGTATATATATATTATGTATGTGTACACTTTATATGTGTATACAGTGAGATTCGTTAAAACACATCAATGACTATTTGTAGTAACGACGAACTAAATATTTACAGGATTGCCAATCATTGGTTGTCAAATCAACCAAAACTATCAAAAAACTAGATTACTATGAATAACCTAGCCCGTTGACACACTATTGACTACCAATCATTGCCTGGCTTGTGGCAAATAATAAATTAGAATTAACAATGAACAATCTCGACAACAATAAATAAATGTATATATTTAAATCATAAAAAAACACAACACCCTTTTTATACTTGGTTTATTGAACGATATTATTTCTTTCTTCATCATTGATTACAAATCAAGATAAGTCGTACAGATTCAGTTGACATACATTGTTATTCCACATATTTGATATCGTGGACTAATGTTATAGGAAACGATGATGAACAATACAACTAACGCGACTTACCGTCTTCTACTAGCAATGTTGTTGGGACAGGAGCTATAACAAAACGTGAAATTCGATAAGAATTAAAATGATTGTTCTTTGCCATGTTAGATTACAAACATGAACTACCATCACATTATGTTTGTCTGTTGTAAAACAGATTATAAAATAACAAATTGTATTGCAGATTTGAAGAATTGCTCATTTTGTTCCTGTTCTTTAACGAATAGAAATACTACAATTGAAATAACGTGAAAGAATGTGTAATTTATTTGCTAATCATAGCTTAATTTCGTAAAACTATTGGGTGACTTATACCCATTTTACAACTTATTAAAATATATAAATGGGCATTTAGAGGAGAAAAGTAAAACTGATTGCAGGGACTGTTAGAAGAAGATCCCAAACTTGAAACGGCTTTTACATTGCAATAGGTTCATTAAATCAAATCATGTCTATCTTGATGAGGTTTTTACTTACGTGGAGGTCTGAAAGTTCCTTCTTGACCAAAAGCCATTACCTCCACTTCACAGAAATGGAGCATTTGTTCTTTGTCTATGAGCTGAATGCTAACATAGCGACCCCTCAATGATTCGCCGCATCCACAGTTCATTATGATTGTCTCTTGTCTAGATCGCTTACCAAGCACCATCATTCCACACACTGGGTTGTCTTCAAAGTTCTCACTGTCACCAACGCGAACTTCGGCGTTCTTCATACGGAATGCTACAATATACATCAACAAGTGAAAAGATTGTCATAAACATTATGAATCGAATTTGTCAAATAAATGCCTACTGGTGCCATACTTTATGGCGAAGCTCCACATATACGTAATGTGCGATTAGTTTTAAACATGCTTTAACAACTGATGTTCAATGATAGTAGGAGTAGGAAGATTAAAGCAACATTGTCATGAATTTTGCTGAGGAAAGCTGTATCTTTCTACGAATACACATTGAGCTCAATTTAAAACTTTAAATAATGTAAAAAATCATTATCCAAAACGAGTTCTTGTAAATGCTTCTGTGAATGTGATGATGTAACAAAATTACAGTATACGGAATACAATATGACACTTCGAATACATCACTACATGTGGAATATACCACTATATGTGAAATACATCGATATACTTTAAATATCTCATTACATGTGCAATGAGTGGGTCCCACGATTATGAATGAGACTCACAGCAACAATCCATTCTATTGGTGATGACGACTTGATACACATCTGTGGGAGCTCCCAAATCTAGCTTCCACCAGGGCTGATACTCCTTATTGGTTTGTACGCATGACTTTCCAGCTTTCAGGTCACTGTCCTTGTTACCATCCACGGCACGACTAGCAACAGCCCCATTCTTATTAGTTGAGCTTTGGCTGGCACGCTTACCCACGGCGATATTTACTAGGCCATCAGGGTTTGTACATGCTGTTGAGGTAAAATTAAAAGCAAATAACAACATGTGTTTGCAAAAACAATACATATGTATAATTCATACGTATCGATAAGTGAGTGTATTTCTACTGTTGTATGTTGGTCTGTCCAAATTATGTATACATATACGTAAGGTTATACTTCGAGGAACTATAGTATCGATGAGGACTAAATATTCAAATGCAAGCACGGCAAATACATACCTAATGTTGGTGGGATAGTTGTTCCTTCCTCAGCTGTAAAAACAAACACACAATATTAAAATTAAAATTAAAAATTAAACTTCAAATACGGAATTCAGTAATTAGTTGTTTTTTTCTATAACTCATGAAAAGCAATCAATGGTGTACACATGTTTGGTAAGTATTATATCAATTAATTTCGTTATCAGCTGTGTATGTACCAGACTATACAGCCACAATCGTTATTTGCATCGTACCGCTACACCTATTTATTTATCTTCAACATTTTTGAAGTATGCCACATTGATTGGTAAATTATAAAGGTGTGCTATATAGATTGTAGCGGCAAATATTCATTGAAAATGACTACCGA